CTGAGAGCTGTGAGATAGTCTGGCCAACAGTTCAAGAGGGGTGCAGTTGCCTGTAGCAATCTTGGTAATGAATATATAAAGATCCCCCTGCGCTCTTATGTATTAAGTTATAATTATATAAGATAATTAAGAAGCAGCTAGCATCCTATCCTATGCCATAAGGTCTAAATCACATATACATATAATGATGCAGCGCTATAATAGCAAAATAAACAGTTATAAGTGATAAAGTATATAAACAGATGAACTAAAAAAAAGGTCCAAAGAATTAGACCTACTAGTGATCATATAACACACGTGACCCCAATCCACATGGGGATATAATAAATAGTGACCCCCAAGTACCCAAATGGGACACAAGGTAGCAAACACTAATGTGAATCCCTAATAAGGGATCAAAGCAGCACACTATGTGAAACACACATCATATATAAGGTGGTTAAAAGTCCATAAATTGGTGCAGTGATCTTCCTGTTCATGCACGGTGTAGATGGCAAAACACCCTCAATGTAATTCCCAAAGGAATGGCTGCAATGGCCTCTCACCTCTACTTCATGACCCTGCTGGGCCACAAAGCAAGAAAACTCCTCTGGGTCCTCAGAGTAACCACTCTATTTTTCAGATGGTGCCAACAGATAATCAATAAACACCATTCCACATAACTGGTCTGCAAGCGGCTGTAGCACTCTCATAGATGTCATAAATCATATACCCATAAAACAAAAAGAGAACATATCTCCATAGTGTAAAATGTTTAATGGTATATAAAAGAAATAAGCCAGAAGTGCACTCACATGAATAAAGTTGACATGAAGTGGAGTCCAGCATATATCAAGGTAGAATCCAATGAGCACAGTATACAGTTTGTATCAAGGTAAAATCCAATGAGCCCAGTATACAACTTATATCAAGGTAGAATCCAATATGCAAGGTGTACTGCATGAAGAAAAAGCTCTAGGTGTACAAAGATGGTGCCATGCCGGAAGTGCGTCACACGTAAGTGCCGTCGACGCGTTGCATCACGTGACCTAGTGACTTCATCAGGACGATGAAGTCACGAGGTCACGTGACGCAACACGTCGATGGCACTTACGTGTGACGCACTTCTGGCGTGGTGCCATCTTTGTACACCTAGTGCTTTTTCTTCATGCAGTACACCTTGTATATTGGATTCTACCTTGATATAAGTTGTATACTGGGCTCATTGGATTTTACCTTGATACAAACTGTATACTGTGCTCATTGGATTCTACCTTGATATATGCTGGACTCCACTTCATGTCAACTTTATTCATGTGAGTGCACTTCTGGCTTATTTCTTTTATATACCATTAAACATTTTACACTATGGAGATATGTTCTCTTTTTGTTTTATGGGTATATGATTTATGACATCTATGAGAGTGCTACAGCCGCTTGCAGACCAGTTATGTGGAATGGTGATTATTGATTATCTGTTGGCACCATCTGAAAAATAGAGTGGTTACTCTGAGGACCCAGAGGAGTTTTCTTGCTTTGTGGCCCAGCAGGGTCATGAAGTAGAGGTGAGAGGCCATTGCAGCCATTCCTTTGGGAATCACATTGAGGGTGTTTTGCCATCTACACCGTGCATGAACAGGAAGATCACTGCACCAATTTATGGACTTTTAACCACCTTATATATGATGTGTGTTTCACATAGTGTGCTGCTTTGATCCCTTATTAGGGATTCACATTAGTGTTTGCTACCTTGTGTCCCATTTGGGTACTTGGGGGTCACTATTTATTATATCCCCATGTGGATTGGGGTCACGTGTGTTATATGATCACTAGTAGGTCTAATTCTTTGGACCTTTTTTTTAGTTCATCTGTTTATATACTTTATCACTTATAACTGTTTATTTTGCTATTATAGCGCTGCATCATTATATGTATATGGAATCTTGGTGATGTCAAGCCTGCTGATCATGTGACAAAGGTGTTGCCTATTGAGGATTTTGGCAAAGCAAACATGCAAGGACAGTGGATTCAGAGTGTCTGGAAGAGCCAGCAAGCATCCGTTGGGGGAGTTGTGTCCCCAATAGCAACTAGAAAGAGTGTTCCATGACAAACAAAAGCTTTGGGGTTTGGCTCAATGATCTCAATATAATGTGTGTGAGTTCTGCTTTCCAGGGGTCAGCATGAAGGAAGCTCTGTTTGTCTGCCCTAATAATAAACAATGTATTTGTCACTGAAAATATGCATTTGATAAACTTGCGCAATAATAGTATGTGACATAAAAATTGCAACTACCACTATTTTATTCTGCAGGGTCTCTGTTTTCAGAAAATATGTAATTTTTGGGGGATTTAACTAATTTTAGGCATTAAATGTGCATTTTAACATGTGTGCAAAACCTGAAAAAATGTCTCTGGCAGAAAAGAGGTTAAAGATGAAGTGTGCAATATGTCTCCTTGGACAGATGGATTAGTGTCATGGAGTACATTTTATTGGAACACAGAACAATTAGATTTAGGTTGGAAAAAAGTATTACCAATGTTAAAAGAGGACTCTGTGTCAGACAGTGGGATGGAACATTTTTCTGCCGTGTCAGATTGGGGGCTGCTGAACAGCATATGGACAAGAGGCACTAGCTACAATAGAAGATATCCCTCATAAGTCACCAGACAGAAAGAAAAAACAGCAGAAATAGTGCCTGTTTCCCACAAAAGAGTTAAAAACAATGTGAATGCAAACAAGGAGGTATCAGTGAAAGTGCAAAATGACACAAGCATAACAGAAGAGATTGAGATCACTGACCCAAAAACCGGTGCATGTAATGAACATAAGGCGTCAGGACAGTTTCTGGCAGAGTGGCATTTGCCAGTGGAGTTGGTGTACAGTGGGATGGCAACTGAAGATGACCACTCCTGGGTGCATAAAAGCACTTCTGACGGTATTGATAACAGTATTGATAATGATTTAATGTGAAATTTATTGTTGGTATATGAAAAGCTGGTAGCAACACATGTGCTAGTTGACCTAGTAATTGACATAAGCTGCAGCTAAAAAGTGTAGTAAAAGGGTATTTGCTCAATGGTGAATGCAGAGTCAGACAGTGTAATGGAAAGTTACAAGCATAGAAGGTGACTTGGGGAAAAAAGAGTGTGCCCAGAAACTCAATGCAAAGAAAATGGTAAACAGGTTGATAAAATAGGAAAAAACTCTTGGGTGACGTATGTAGACCCCAGGATAGTGTAGCAGGGGAATATGGAGTATGTCACCTGTTTTAGATTGATTTCAATTTTTCCTTTAAAGAATTTTTAAACTATTCCCCTAACACTACTGGGGTCATCTGCTTTCATGATGAAACACAAGTTGTGGGCATATTCCCATTTTAACTTCATGAAACTATTGTGGGAAAACATTTTCCACACTTTTGTAAAATGGGGAAAAAAATAACATGAGTCATGGGTACAATGCTTTCACTACAGGTAAAACTGATTCAGTCAACCCTGATGCTTTTGACAGCAGTGGAGAACAGGAAATTGTTGGTGTGTTCAAGGAAGGTATTATTACCCTTCTCTTCTCAGTAATGGCTGGGGATCAAGGTGAGTCAGAGTCTGACCCTGAGGTTATGAATGATGTACAAGATGTCATGCTTGGCTCTAATCATAAAAGTAGACAAGGATTAATTTTGGTACCAAACAGCTTAAAGATCCTGCACTAGCTAGAGCCATAGAAATTTTCAAGAATGTCATGAGTAGAGATGAGCGAATTATTCAAAAATTCGGTTCGGCTGATTCGCCGAATTCGCAGAATAAATTCGCTTTGAGCCGAATATATTCGCTGCGAATTTAACTTATAAAAAGGGTGTTTTTAGGCTTCAGAGAGCCTTTATATTAGTGCAGAACACTGTACCTTTAATTTAAATGCCCTTGGAGTCTGCTGGGGAAGAGAAATAATACTGTCAGTCAGTATGACATGCAGTGAGTGCCGTCGATCTTAGAATCACCGCACACTTCACTCATTTGGGCAGTCACGGGGCCAAAACCAGAGTGTGGAGCCACAGTGTGGCGGTGGAGGCAGCAGCAATGGGAGGCCATACAGCACCCTATGACAAAATGGAACCCACCAGCAGTGTGAGGAGACCTGAAAGTGGCACATGGCAGAGTGTGGCGATGGAGACAGCAGCAATGGGAGGCCGTACAGGGACCCATGACACACTCTGGACCTGGCAGCAGCATGAGGAGGCGGTACAGGGGCCCATGACAGATTACGGGCCTGGCAGCAGCATGAGGAGTCGGTACGGGGGCCCATGGCAGATTACGGGCCTGGCAGCAGCATGAGGAGGCGGTACAGGGGCCCATGGCAGAGTGGCAGAGCGTAAGCAGCTAAAATTGAAGGCCATACAGAGGCCTATGTTAAAAAGTCCCCCCAGCAGCAGCGTGGGGAGACGACTATCAAGAGTCCAATGGCAGAGTGGCGGAGCAGAAGCAGCTTCAATTGAAGGCCATACACAGGCCTAGGTTTAAAAGTCCCTCACAGTTAATTCCAATAACGAACTCTACTCCTCCGTGCAATCTACTTACGAGACCCTGGGCAGGTCTGGGTCCAATTTGTGGTAGAGACTGGTTTTGTTCAGCCATGCTTGAGCGAGTAATAACAGGTCTGTGCTGCCCTTTGGTGTCTGGCTTAATGCGCACAACACTGAACGTCCCAGCGTTTGTCAACGATTTGCCGTTAAGTGATGCAAACCCGCTGAACCACGTTCATGAGGAGCCGGTACAGGGGGCCATGAATCAGTATGGACCTGGTAGCAGCGTGAGCAGACGACAGAGGCACATGGCGCAGGGTGGCGGTGTAGGCAGCATTATTCTGAAGCCATACACAGGCCTAGGTTAAAAAGCGGAAGCCGTCAGCAGCGTGAGCAGACGACAGAGACACATGGCGCAGGGTGGCGGTGGATGCAGCAGTATTCGGAAGCCAAACACAGGCCTCGGTTAAAAAGCGGAAGCCGTCAGCAGCGTGAGCAGACGACAGAGGCACATGGCGCAGGGTGGCGGTGGAGGCAGCAGCAATGGAAGGCCATACAGCACCCTATCACAAAATGGAACCCACCAACACTGTAAGGAGACCTGAAAGTGGCACATGGCAGAGTCTAGCGATGAAGTCAGCAGCAATGGGAGGCCGTACAGGGACCCATGACACACTCTGGACCTGGCAGCAGCAAGAGGAGGCGGTACAGGGCCCATGGCAGAGTGGCGAAGCGTAAGCAGCTTAAATTGAAGGCCATACAGAGGCCTATGTTAAAAAGTTCCCCCAGCAGCAGTGTGGGGAGACGACTATCAAGAGTCCAATGGCAGAGTGGCGGAGCAGAAGCAGCTTCAATTGAAGGCCATACACAGGCCTAGGTTAAAAAGTCCCCCCAGCAGCAGCGTGGGGAGACGACTATCAAGAGTCCAATGGCAGAGTGGCGGAGCGGAAGCAGCTTCAATTGAAGGCCATACACAGGCCTAGGTTAAAAAGTCCCCCCAGCAGCAGTGTGGGGAGACGACTATCAAGAGTCCAATGGCTGAGTGGCGATTCGGGAAGTCAGCGTTGTGATTGCAGATGCAATGCAGAGATTCTATGAGGTGATGCCGTGGGTGCGAAGAAGATCATATACCGTCGTACTTCCATCCATAAGACGGAACAACCTGCGAACCGGGAGCTTTATTGCCCTGACCCGCTGAGCAGCTTCTGGGATACCCAAGAGGCCCATGGCAGAGTGGCGGAGCGTAAGCAGCTTCAATTAAAGGGCCATACAGAGGCCCTATGTTAAAAAGTCCCCCCAGCAGCAGCGTGGGGAGACGACTATCAAGAGTCAAATGGCAGAGTGGCGGAGCGGAAGCAGCTTCAATTGAAGGCCATACACAGGCCTAGGTTAAAAAGTCCCCCCAGCAGCAGTGTGGGGAGACGACTATCAAGAGTCCAATGGCTGAGTGGCGATCCGGGAAGTCAGCGTTGTGATTGCAGATGCAATGCAGAAATTCTATGAGGTAATGCCGTGGGTGCGAAGAAGATCATATACCGTCGTACTTCCATCCATAAGACGGAACAACTTGCGAACCGGGAGCTTTATTGCCCTGACCCACTGAGCAGCTTCTGGGATACCCAAGAGTTTGGCTTCTGTGGGAATATGGTTGAAAACTGAAACTTAAAGGCATGTTGACGGAAGGGCACCAGTGTCAGTGCTCCGGAGGGAATATAGCTTCAAAGCTGACACTTAAAGGTATATCGACGGTCAGAGACCACAGGAAGTGGAGCTTGCGTCTTAAATCGACTGAATGTGGCAGACGTGAAACGTCTACGGGCCGTATATGAAACGGGTTGTTCCTCTTTCTGGAATAAGTGTTGGAAATGGCCACTCTTTTTGGTGTGGCGTTTTGTCTATTTAATTCCGATAACGGACTCTACTCCTCCGTGCAATCTAGTTACGTAGACCCTGGGCAGGTCTGGGTCCAATTTGTGGTAGAGACTGGTTTTGTTCAGCCATGCTTGAGCGAGTAATAACAGGTCTGTGCTGCCCTTTGGTGTCTGGCTTAATGCGCACAACACTGAACGTCCCAGCATTTGTCAACGATTTGCCGTTAAGTGATGCAAAACCCCGCTGAACCACGTTCATGAGGAGCCGGTACAGGGGGCCATGAATCAGTATGGACCTGGCAGCAGTGTGAGGAGACCCGAAAGTGGCACATGGCGCAGGGTGGCGGTGGAGGCAGCAGTATTCGGAAGACATACACAGGACTAGTTTAAAAAGCGGAAGCCGTCAGCAACGTGAGCAGACGACAGAGGCACATGGCGCAGGGTGGCGGTGGATGCAGCAGTATTCGGAAGCCATACACAGGCCTAGGTTAAAAAGCGGAAGCCGTCAGCAGCGTGAGCAGACGACAGAGGCACACATGGCGCAGGGTGGCGGTGGAGGCAGCAGTATTCGGAAGCCATACACAGGCCTAGGTTTAAAACTGGAACCCAGCAGCGTGAGCAGACGACAAAGACGCACATGGCAGAGGATGGATCTGGCAGCAGTATGAGAAGGCGGTACAGGGGCCCGTGGCACAGTGTGGTGATGGGGGCTACAGCAACTGGATGCCAGAAAGTGGCCGATAGGGCTATATACTGCATGGAATTATAAAGTTGTAAAGACAGCGGCCTATAAGGCAATACACACTATAACAATCATGACTTGATTGACCATTGGCCTATAAGGCTCTATACACAGCATGAATATCATGACTTATTCTGAGAGTGGTTTGGAAGGCTATATACAAAAAGTAATTCATGAGCTGTCCGGACAGCGGACAATAAGTACATATATACAAATCAATTCATCAGCTGTCCAGCCAGCGGCCTCAAAGGCGACACATATAGAAAGCAATTCATGAGCTGTTCAGACAGCGGCCTCTAAGGCGACAGATATACAAAGCAATTCCCGAGGTGTTCAGGGAGCGGCCTGAGACGGCTAGGTTATTACTAAATATATTTTTGTGGCCAAACATCGGCCTACTAAATAGATGTCTACACAGTGACAAAAAATTATGTCGCCAGACAGCGGCCCCTAAGGCGACAGATATACAAAGCAATTCCCGCGAGCGCACAGGGCCCACAGTGTCTGAGGATGGGACGTTGGCGCAGAAAGGCACGAGACCAACTGACTACATAGGTGGTTTTTATAGTACTTTATGTTGGCCTCCCTCTCAGCAGGTGTGAAAAAGGCCACCATTTTTGAACGGTAGCGAGGGTCCAACAAGGTGGACAGCCAAAAGTCATCCCTCTGTCTGTCTGAGATGGTTATTATTCGGCTGTCGCTACGCAAGCAACCGAGCATGCTATGGGCCATTTGTGCCAAGGAATGCGAGGGACTCCCTGCCTCCATCTCCCACAGCATACTGCCACGGTGCGTCTGGGTCCTCTGTCTCCTCCTCCTCCTCTACCAAATGCCTCCTGCTCCTCCACTCCTGTCCGCTGAGTGGGAAAAACCACCCATTTCACTCAATAATTCCTGAGCACCAATTGTCCTCCTCTACCTCCTCCTCTTCTTCCTGTCCTGCCCCCACAGGGGTCATGTGCGTTGAGATCTGTGCGCCACGTCTACCGCACCCTGACCAGCCATTGTTAACAGCATTTGTTCCAGGACGTGCAACAGAGGAATGACGTCGTTCATCCCATAGTCCTGCCAACTCACGAATAGCGTGGCCTCCTCAAAGGGCCTGAGCAAGCGGCAGGTGTCACGCATGAGCTGCCAATGGCTGACATCTAAGTTACACAGGGAGTACCTTTATCCGCTTGTAACATCAGGAAATCGGTGATGGCCTTTCGCTGTTCGTAAAGGCGGTCTAACATATGTAGGGTTGAATTGCACCTTGTTGCAACGTCGCAGATCAGGCGATGCTGTGGAATTCCGTTCTGCCGCTGCAGCTCAAGGAGGGTGTGCTTTGCGGTGTAGGAATGGCTGAAATGCATGCAAAGTTTACGTGACATTTTAAGGATGTCTTGCAGTGGGATGGTGGATTTTAGGAACCGCTTGACAACCAGATTGAACACGTGAGCCATGCATGGCGCATGGCACAACCTTCCTTGACGCAGAGCAGACACCATGTTCTTTCCGTTGTCGGTCAACATGGTTCCGATTTTCAGTTTGCGCGGAGACAGCCATCTGTCGATTTCTCTGTTCATTACACTCAGAAGTTCCTCCCCTGTGTGACTACGTTCGCCAAGGCATACCAGGTGCAGCACAGCGTGACACCGTTGCGCCCTGCACATGTGATATGCGGTCGGGTAATGGGACTTGGCACGGGGGTGTGGCGCTGAGGACACGGCGGAAGAAGAGGTGGTAGAGGCGGACATCTTTGCTGGACCAAGGACGTGCAAACGTGGAGGCAAAAGCGGCGTGACCTGTCCAACTTGCTGGTGCGGCTGTGCCGCACCACGTTCACCCAGTGGGCCGTAAATGACATGTACTGTCCCTGACCGTAGTTACAGCTCCACACGTCGGCGCTGCCGTGCACTTTGGCAGAGACCGACATGCTCAAAGACTGGCCCACCATCTCTTCTACATGTGAATGCAGGGCTGGCACTGCCTTTTTGGCAAAGAAATGCCGGCTTGGCACTCTCCACGCGGCTCGGCACAAGCCATCATTTCTCGGAAAGGTGCTGAGTCCACCACTTGGAAAGGGAGGGACTGCAGCACCAGCAACTTGGACAGGAGGACGTTCAGCTTCTGCACCGTCGGGTGCGTGCTCGCAAACTGTTGTCTCTTGAAAACGGATTCCAAGAAAGACTGCTGACGGAATCCGTGAAGAGGAGTAGCAGGAGAAGGAGCATCTGAACGAGCGGAAGATGCCAACGAGCGACAACTCCCCTCAGCAGAGGTGTTGGAGCCTTGACTGGCTGATAGAGGGCGATTGACGTCGGGTGACGGAGCAAGTAACGAGCGGGTGATGGAGCGGGGGCTGGGGCAGGCAGAACCGCCGTATCTTTATCACGGTTTTCCCAGGCCACCGAATGGCGACGCTGCATATGCTGACGCAACGCTGTAGTCCCAACATTGGCCCCCTGGCCACGCTTGACTTTCTGGCCACATAGTCGACATACGGCTACGTTTACTTCCTCGGGCGGCTTGACGAAAAATTGCCACACCGCCGAGTAGGAAACTTTGTCCCCGCTACTCCTCACTGGCTGACTGCTACTTCCTCCGTGCACACCGGCACCACTACTGGCCGTGGTGGTAGGCTGCAGTGGAGCTGGTGCTCTACTCCGTGGCCGTTTGGCTCCACTGACACTGCTGCGACCCTGCTGCCTCCTGGGCAACCCACCGACTGTTTTGCTCGCTGCCAAGCTGGCACCCTCTTCTCCTGATGTTGCGGAAGCAATAGCCTGATGACGACGAGGCTGCCAAGTGCGATCAGCCTCATCATCATCATTAGGGTCTCCGCGTCACTACTAGCCCCGGGGTCACGGGAATGCACTAATCACCCAAAAAATATTACCGCCAGCCGGCGTGTAAATGGATTTAACTCTTTGAACGTTACAATAGTGGTTGTGAAGCAGAAAGTCAGTTTATTTAGCACAATCGGTCAATTGCAGCTTGCCGTTGGCTGTAAACTGTACGTTTATGTCACTGGAATGCACTAATCACCCAAAAAATATTACCGCCACCCGGCGTGTATATGGATTTAACTCTTTGAACGTACAATAGTGGTTGTGAAGCAGAAAGTCAGTTTATTTAGCACAATCGGTCAATTGCAGCTTGCCGTTGGCTGGAAACTGTACGTTTATGTCACTGGAATGCACTAATCACCCAAAAAATATTACCGCCAGCCGGCGTGTAAATGGATTTAACTCTTTGAACGTACAATAGTGGTTGTGAAGCAGAAAGTCAGTTTATTGTACACAATCGGTCAATTGCAGCTTGCCGTTGGCTGGAAACTGTACATTTATGTCACTGGAATGCACTAATCACCCAAAAAATATTACCGCCAGCCGGCGTGTAAATGGATCTAACTCTTTGAACGTACCATAGTGGTTGTGAAGCAGAAAGTCAGTTTAGTTAGCACAATCGGTCTGCAGCTTGCCGTTGGCTGGAAACTGTACGTTTATGTCACTGGAATGCACTAATCACCCAAAAAATATTACCGCCACCCGGCGTGTAAATGGATCTAACTCTTTGAACGTACAATAGTGGTTGTGAAGCAGAAAGTCAGTTTATTTAGCACAATCGGTCAATTGCAGCTTGCCGTTGGCTGGAAACTGTACGTTTATGTCACTGGAATGCACTAATCACCCATAAAATATTTACCGCCACCCGGCGTGTAAATGGATCTAACTCTTTGAACGTACAATAGTGGTTGTGAAGCAGAAAGTCAGTTTATTTAGCACAATCGGTCAATTGCAGCTTGCCGTTGGCTGGAAACTGTACGTTTAGGTCACTGGAATGCACTAATCACCCAAAAAATATTACTGCCAGCCGGCGTGTAAATGGATTTAACTCTTTGTACGTACAATAGTGGTTGTGAAGCAGAAAGTCAGTTTATTGTACACAATCGGTCAATTGCAGCTTGCCGTTGACTGGAAACTGTACGTTTATGTCACTGGAATGCACTAATCACCCAAAAAATATTACCGCCACCCGGCGTGTAAATGGATCTAACTCTTTGAACGTACAATAGTGGTTGTGAAGCAGAAAGTCAGTTTATTGTACACAATCGGTCAATTGCAGCTTGCCGTTGGCTGGAAACTGTACGTTTCTGTCACTGGAATGCACTAATCACACCCAAAAAATATTACCGCCAGCCGGCGTGTAAATGGATTTAACTCTTTGAACGTACAGTAGTGGTTGTGAAGCAGAAAGTCAGTTTATTGTACACAATCGGTCAATTGCAGCTTGCCGTTGGCTGGAAACTGTACGTTTATGTCACTGGAATGCACTAATCACCCATAAAATATTACCGCCACCCGGCGTGTAAATGGATCTAACTCTTTGAACGTACAATAGTGGTTGTGAAGCAGAAAGTCAGTTTATTTAGCACAATCGGTCAATTGCAGCTTGCCGTTGGCTGTAAACTGTAGGTTTGTGTCACTGGAATGCACTAATCACCCAAAAAATATTACCGCCAGCCGGCGTGTAAATGGATTTAACTCTTTGAACGTACAATAGTGGTTGTGAAGCAGAAAGTCAGTTTATTTTGCACAATCGGC